CACTTCTTAAGTTTAAGAAGTGAAAGTTGGATACAATATTTTTCATATGATTCTATATGAAGCAAAAACAAAATATAAAATACTGAAAATATCTGAAAATACTATATATATATATATAGGGATATTCTCTGTATCTCATCCAAACTTGGTGTATGATAATTAGAGCGTGGATTTGTATGCACTATCAAAGTATCAAAATATATAACATGCAGTCAAAATCGTAAAAATATGTAAATGCGCGGAATAATATGCAATAAAATTTTAATCATTCATGTCACAAATATTTATTTAAACTATTTAGTTATTCAAACTCGACGGATCGCCCAGCCCTCGCCCGTAAAAATAAATGTTTATATTTACATTATAGGTTACTACAGGCAAATAAAAAATAAAAAAATACAATCGTCGGTTTGTAAATCCCGTTGTAAAATCCGCCTTCGCGTGAATAATATTATCGGACAAACAAGACACGGGGAACGATCTCACGGGCAGTGTGTACCGACGAATCGATTGCCGAACAGTTTTGTCATAATTCATGACACTAGCTGACTTTCTGACGCATCACCTGGTTAGGACTGGACCCACTCACCCACCGCTGAAATATTTATCGTATGCCCTATCCGATCATGAATCGACGATTGCAGAAACGTCACGTGTCTCATATTTTATGAAATCGAGTCAGGGCCTGGTCATATTATGAGGGTGCTATTACTTTTAATGAGGCTCTTTCACACAATGACAGTTCCATTTATTTTTCAGATTCTGTTATTTGTAATAAATATTAATTTAAATAAGTTTGGTTTATTTGTATATTGTTGAAAATTATAATAACATTTTATTTTTTTAACATATTTATTTGATATCATTTTATATGGAAAAAAAAATTGGTTGCTTATCGCGGTCCCTTTCAACTTGCGGCCTGGGGCTATAGCCCCCCCCCCCCCCAAAAAGAACTTCCTCCCTTGATTCAGCTTTGAATAAAAATGTACACTAGTCACGTGTCTCTATACCGTCGAGTGTCAAAACGTATAACTAAAGACATTTCTACGATAATCGATCCGTACAGGTGCCGCTGTTACGGACCGTCGCGAGACGTCCGGCACATTTGAAACGTCAAGACTGTTTCGTATAGAAAATATGCACGGAAAGATGGTTGATTCAAATGAATACAATGAAATCAAAGTGTACGGCATGAACGAGAACAAAATGTTTCGATGTTTTTTCAGAAAAATTATTATATTTATTTCTTTATTGTATTACGGTAAAAGTACGAACACCGGTAACATTTTGATTTTACTGACCGCGATCGACAAACGACCGGACTTCGGAGTTCAATGATTGATTTCGATAACGCCTGGAATACACAGGAACGGTTGGGTCGAATCCCGTTCGCGCTGAGCGTAAAAATGACTTCACGCTGTCCTTATTCGTATTTAAGTTAAACTGCCAACCAACGGCGCTTCGGTTTCCTCTCTCTTTTTATGGTTTTTTTTTTAATGAATTTTGTACATCGCATAAGCTGGACAATCGGTTTCTGCGTCCTTCGTTTGAGATGTTCATTTTTTTTTTTAATAAAAATTGAAAAAAAATTTTCCGCGATCGAATACACCGAACGAAAATCTTAAACGCTGCATCGGAGCTCCCAGTAGACGATTTCACTTAATTCGTTTTATTTCGCGTTACGCAACAAGACGGACGTTATTAATAATAATAACGGCGAGTTATTTGATTTTGATTTGGTTATTGATTATAACGTACCTACCAATATCTATCTAGTAAGTATAGTTAGTACAAGTATTTAATATAGATAAAGCCTGCCACCGATCTAAAAATTCCGATCTAAAAAAAAAAAAAAAAACGGTAAAAACTAATAATAAAATGTAATAACATTTTATAAACCAGTAGATAGAAAATAGGGAATTCTAAAGCAAATACCGCAGCTCAACATTATTTTTTTCATTTTTTTACTTAGCGCCATCCGAATATTTTTCCCCGGTACACAATCCCTGATATTTCCCCTCATATCCGTATCTATATACATATATGAAAATCAAATACCACTCATTCGCTGGCAGATCGTACGAACTTGCAATTAGACATGTGGTTCCCCTAGCATTCCGAACGTGCAATAAAAAAAGGAACCATCAACGTAATGCGTTCAAGTCTCTGAACGAATGGCACAGAATCAGTGCGATCGAGTTCAAGAAAAAAAAAATGAATTATTTAATTGAGAAACAAATGATCCTCCGCTCCGATCCATAGTCATGCACACGGGGAAGGGGGATGCCTGGACACCACCCGAAATGTTGTGATTGCGGTCCTTCGCTTTAAGTTTAAGAGTAAAAGCTCATATTTTAACCGATGTCGCTCAAATTAAATGTAATTTGTTCTAAAATATCAGGTAAAAAATGTTTCGTAATAGAAAAAATCAAAACAATACATTTTCGTGCTAAAACTTATTACAATAATATAACAACAACAATTGTCTTCGAAAGTACAGATCATAAATAATTGATGCTGTCTGAAAAATATATATGAGATTTAAGGAACACATATTCATTGGAGTCGATATACAATATTACATAGAAACAAATTTATATTATGTTTATTTAATTAATTTTACATAACAATTTATTAAATACAGGGCGGGTTCGAGGGGTAGGCGACATAGGCGCGCGCCTAGAGCAGCATTTGAACATTTTATATTATAGATAATGTTTAAAATATTGTGTACAGTAAAATGAGAATAAATAAATATTTGTGTTACAGTATAAATAAATCAAATGACGCGTTATTACTACCGTTAATGACTCGAGCCCCAATAATTTTGAAGAAGTTTAATCGCACCTCCCCCAACAAAAAAAATTAAATACTTATCCACGTGTCTGGTCCATTACGGTCTACGAAAGAGGTTTATTTTTATATTCTGTTACTTCATCGAAAAATCCAATCGTGCAGCAAAACTTAAGCTAAAAACACTTTTTCAGTGCTAAACGCAGTGACAGTACATCAACGATTCATTTGAGTTGTTGAAACTTTTAAGCAATATACGATACGCATTAAAGGATGATATTTAAAATAAAAATTTAAAACGTAGAAACATTGGATTACTAAACTGATTTATAATTTGTAATGCCCGGTTTGCACGATCCGTAGTACTTGTCATCGGTAGTCACTCGTCACTCGCACATTACGTGTAAACAGAAAACAGTGCTTAGTAACCGTTCTATTTACTGACGACAAGTAGCTACTCCCTACACGGCTCCACTCGCGGTTGCACTCGGCAAACGCGTTAGCGCTCAGTAATATTTGCGTTATCACGTGTGCACACTGTGAATTGTGATAATTCTTAATTCAACTTCTGGTTCATATACGATTGATCAAATTATTATGTTCCAACAACATTTCAAACTTTGTTTTACGATACGACGTACGTCGTCGTACTTCTTCACGACTTAATCGATCTTGACAATTAACATTTTATATTATAATAATTAATATTATTAATTATTATTCGTAACAGTTGATTAGAAGTAAATAATATATCATATTATTTACTTCTAATCACTGTTTTGGGAATTATAATCTTATTTACTTTGATTTTACAATTTAATATATGTATATGTAATATAAAAAAGTAGTAAAGGCAGCGAAAGTCCTACAAAGGACAGTAAAAGCTAAAGAAGAAGAAAAATATATGTAATATATTTAATATTATTGTCAACTGATTATCATATGATACTATCCACTAATACATAACACGGTGAACGGAAAAAAAAGTCCCCGGTAAAAAGGTCCTTCGAAAAAAAAATTCTCTCGCTACAGTATAAATATAACAATATTTTCATTATACTTGTTATTTTATTTATAAAATAAATTTGGTTGACAATCGCACAGAAATAATGTTTGCGAGAGCTGGAACAATTGGTTTTCCCATCTCGTCGACATTAAACATCCCAGTACTTGGAAATTACTAACAAAAATGCGTCAAGAAGTTGAAACGGACAGGGCAAGAATGGCATTAGCTGAAGTAGGAGAAATTAATCGGAAAAAACAAAAGCTGGTAAAAAAAATTTAAGTTCGATTGAACATTTTATGTAAGCGTTTTGATGAGGACTAATCTGCAGATATTCCTAATTTTTTAAAGCAAATAGGTCAAAACATAAGAAAGAGGTCTTTTATATCTGAATAATTGCATTCTTAGATTTTTTAAATATTATAGATGTTTAAGATGTTATATTATTATTATAATATATTATATGTTATTGTATATTTTATTTTGTTTGTGCATAAAATATTAATTTGGAAACTTTTTTTACCGGGAACTTTTTTTTCGAGTTTTTTTTCCTGTTACTTTTTTTCCTAATATCATCTAACACCTAGTGCGAGTGCGAAAGTTGTGTGAACTCTCAAGCAATGAGCGAGTGCAAGTGACAAGTACTAATAACAAGTACTACGTATCATGTAAGCCCGGCATAAACAATATATTCTTAAATATTTAAAAAAAAAAGATAAATTCTTAGACAATATCTTAACAACAAAATTTTAAGTTGGTAAAACCACTGATTTATAATAAACAAGGTATCATTAAGCATGTATAAATAGGTACATTTATTGTAGAATTTTGTAAATTCAAAGAAAAATATTCATATTTAATTAATCATTTTTTTCAAATTAATTCAATATTACACTGACATGATGAAAAGATAAGTATTATGATTTTATATAATTTACATATTCATAATACAAACTATGTTTATAATTTATTTTTACTTACAATGTAATACATACAGATAAAAAAAATTTAAAACATTAACAAATCGGTTTAAACAAACTGTCAATGAATTAAGAACTTAAATTTAAATAATACACTTAAGTTACTTTTTAGCAATAAAAATTGTTTTATGAACATGATGTTTAGGATGATATTTTCAAGTTTAAATATTATTTGTAAAAGGGACAAGGTGAACTTGTAAACTAACAGATAATTAAATATTGAATTATTTGAAATCAATAATATTTATTCATGAAATAAATCATAGTATGAAAACATATTATCTGTTATTATGTACAACAAAATTAATTAAATTTAGTTCATTTCGTCATGTAGCTGAGCTAGCAAAGCTTTACGTTTTGCTTCTAAATCATCATCACTTAATTCAGCGGATTTCAGATTTTTCTTACTCTTAATTTCATCAAAGTCGGGTCTTCTTAAACTTGATGACTGTAAAATTAAATAAATAATCAATATGTTAATGAAATGTAAATATAAATCATAATTGATAAAATAATATGATATAATATGTATACATTTGGACATTTTAATATTAATACAGTAGAACTCTGATTATCCGTTAACACTTATTACGCGGAACGAATAAAAGATATGGCAGCCAAAAGGGCATGTGGTAAAGTTAAACAAAAAAAATGAACAGACTTTAATCTTGTAATTAAAAATATATATGTAGTAAATAATTGTCAATCATATGAATGTATGGATACATAATAAATGTATAGTAAATTTAAAAAAATAATAAATAATGCATGTTAAAATTATTGAAAAAATAAAAACATAATATGTATTTATGATCAAAAAAGTTTGTTTCTTATTTAAAAGCTGATGAATAATCAAATTTCTACTGTAGAATATTTACCCTTGAACGTGATCGGTTCAGAGGACTTTCAGAGTGCTTCTTCCTTTTTGACTTTTTATTCCTTCTTCTTCGACTCTCACTGTCACTTATAATTTCAGGAGAATCATCTTTGGATTTTTTTCTATATTTATGATCAGAATCACTGGAGTCCTAAGAATATATATAATAAAAATATATTTAAGATTATTGGGATAATAGGGAATGTAAAATTTTAAAAATATAATTTATTGGTATAATTAAACTTCATAGTGGTAAGACTTTAAACTAATTAAAAGATTATAATTAGAAAGCCAAACCTATTTAAATATTTTTTTTTTTTTTTGGTAGAACAAATGACTATAAAAATGATATATACAGCATAACTTTAAAATATTATCCGAAGACAACAGTAATATTATAAGATACTAAAAAATACATTCTTAACATGATTTTTTTTTTTTTTTTGGTTGCTTTTTATCATTTGTATGCTAAAATAAATGTATTTTTAGTTAAATAAGTATAAGTACATAATTTCTCCATAACATTAAATTAAAATACTTTAAATAAAAAATAAGTTCAATACATATACAATATACATTGCCAGGGTTCGAGACTTATACCACTAAAAATTATTAAAATAAGCGCTTAAAAAATCACTTAAAAACATTATAAGCACTAAAGTAAGCATTTAAAAATTTAAAATTAAGTAAAAATATTTATTCAAAAAATAAAAAGAAACTATAAAATTCTAAATAATAGAATCAAACAAAATCAAAATAAATTTTCACTTTCAAGACTTTAAAAGTTTTTATGGATTTTCTAAAAGATTTTTCTAAAAAATAAAATGTAAACTATTCTCTCTGTTCTTGATCATTCTGACATTTGACACAGTTCTATTTTCAGTTTTAGAATATTTTTACAATGAATATCCCTACAACAATGCCTTAGACGACGACGAACTACGTGACAATGTAAAGAATATAAGAATTATTTTTAATTTTAATTCTATCAGAAAAAACTATGCAGGAGAAAACTATAAAAACCTAAAAAAAACTGGCCAAATAAGCAAAAATAATCAGAAAAACTGGAAATAAGCATATTTTTTTGAAAAATAGCTGAAAAAAGCAAAAAAAGGCATTTTCAAATTTCAAATTGTACGTGTTACAACTCGACATACACTTCTATAACACTCTGTTACATTTTAAGTCAATCCATAAAAATAAGCAAATGCTTTAACTCCCAAGCCTTGAACATTACATTCAAAACCAGGAACTGTAGAGCATGTATATTGAAAAATTGACCTGTTCCCCAAAATACAATCTAGATACCGATCCCTATCAAAAACTATGCATAATGAAGATGATCAGAGCTATCCTTCTGGTCGAAATTAAATACACAGACATTAACCTAACTAAACGTCATGGTAAAATTAACATTCCTCAAAAATCTTAAAGTTGTGTACTTTTACATACAATTATTTCTAAAAAATGTTATACTGTAATTTTGAACTGAGGTGATAATATCAATATATTTATATATTTAATTAATACATTATGGTGCAAATTTTTTTTTGTAGAAATATTTATATCTTTTTTTCTCAGGAAAATGTAACTGTTTTTTTTGTAAAAAATATATACTTATTTTTTCAGTGAACAATTTTTATCATTTTACACATAATTTAGTTTTAATACAAATAAATGTCTAAGTAATAGAGCTTAGTTATTAACACTACTTAACATAAAAACTTACAAAAGATTTTGATCGAGATTTCTTTTTGTGTTTTTTATTTTTTTTGGATTTTTTCATTTTTGAATGATGATGATTACAAACTTCTTCTGTATCAACTTGGAATTCCTGCATAATAAACCACAATTATAAAAATATAATAATTTATACTATTATACATTAGTAAAATATTATTTTCAAATTATTTATATTTTTTAAATTATTAACTTACATGCACAAATGAGTGTTTATTTAAATAATTAGTACTATATACATCTAAAAATGTATATTTTCTAATTAAGTTTCTCTAAAAAATTATAGCAAAAAAAGTGTTATAAGATGACAAAAATGATTTAATTCCATGACTATATTTTACTATGTAAATATAAATTTATACGCATGAAGTCTTTTATATGTTTAAATTTATTTCAAGTAGCATAAAATATGATGATAACATCATATCTCAACTTATTTGAAATATTCAAAAAAACTGCAAGTTACACCATATAAATTCTAAGTTATATAGTAAATATTTTTTATTTTTAATTAAAACTGTATTACCTTAAATATATCCTTTAATTTTCTTTGTACATTCTTAAAACAAATCTAGAAGTTAGGAAGGTTTTAAAAATAATATTGTACAATATTCATCTCATTATAATTTGATGGATTTAGAACCTCATTATTTTATTTATTTCAAAATATTACAATTATATTATTCAATTTATGTAAATGAATATATTATATTATGTAAATTTAAAAAAAAATGTATTCCATGTAATTCGAAGAATATGTAGATAATAAATAAATTTTATCTTAGAAAAGACTGTCAAATGAACACTTGTTTTAATATGTTTTTATTATTATTTCCATACTTTACATATTTTCTATATTATATACTGTGTGTATACCTAGACATATCACTAATTAATTGAACATACTATACATATATATAAACATTTTATAAATGGTACATTACCTTAAAAATACGAAGTCTTTCAGATTCTAAAGTGATGGCTTGGAAAGCTTGGTGGTTCTCAATTTGTCCACGTACATCATCCCAATTTGATTTATAATCTACATCCATTTCTTTAAGCAACGTACGGAATGCAGTCTCTAATTTTCGTTGCCTTCTATTTTCTTCACGTAATCTTTCTTTCTCTCTTCCCTCGGCCTATTTAAAATTTCACAATGATAATAAATTGGTTAAAAACCACTAATTTGTTAATTACTTTTTCAATAAGTCCATGGTAAGTCAATTTCACATTTCCAGCATCTAAAGTTTCTGATCGTTTATCTAAACAAATTACCCGAGCAAATTCTTCAAATGTAGTATTAACCTGAAAAATGAACCGAATTGTAGTTCAATAGCTTTAATAAAATTAAAACAACATACATCAACTTCAAATGAATTTTCTTTGAGTATTTCTTTGATAATTTTCTTTTCTTCATGAAACCTTGATTTTAAATCCTCAACATAAAATTTAAAAAGATCTAAAGCTGTAGAACCTAAACACAAATTATTTTTATAATAAAATAATGCATACTAGTGTTAAAATATTACCAGGTTGGCCAAGAAGAGCAGAAAATCTTATATCTGTACTTATAATAGGATATAGTTCTTTCCATAAAGACACAGAAGTTAATTTTCCTTGTTGATGAAGTTCTTCCAAGAACATCTAAAATATAAAATATCAATAAATAATTGTAAGACAGATCCATTTAAAATACATACACCAAAATTATCACGGTTTTTACGTTCTTGTTGTTTTCTTCTTCTTCTTTCTCTTTCTTTATCATGTTCTTCTTCTTTTTCTAATTCACGAATGTGATCTTGAAATACAGTTAAAGCATCTTCTTTTTCCATGCCTACAAAAGAATATACAATTATTATACAACAATAATGCAACCATAAATCAATATAATTTGCTACCAATGCCGCAAAAACCGGGTGTACTGAGTGTGTCGCGTACACAAGCCCCCCAAGGCTTACATGCATTTAGGAGGACCCCTAGTCCTAGCCTAAAATAAACTACACATTACAAACACACAATTATTTAATAATATTATATTATTATTATTTTATAATAAAAAGAAACTTTTTTAAAATTCAGGTAAGGATGTTAAAATATTTTAGAGTAATATAATATTTATTTAACAATGAGTCCATTGAGTATTTAATTTAAGTAGGCATACAACATACCTACCTAAACTACATAAATATGTAGTGAAGTATAATATACAACAATTATAGGTATTTAATTTGATATATATACACATTTCATACACTAACTGGTGTAAAACGTGGTTTAAAACCTAAAAAAATTGATACTTAAAAAATAAGACCTACAACAAAAATAAATCCTGGGAAGGGGCCTAATATAATTACAGCATACGGGCTTCCTATTTTGTAATTGCGGCACTGTTTGCTACTAAGAAATAAAATGTATTTTAGCTGACCTAATAATTTTGGATCATTAACAAAATTTTGATTGTTAAGAAGCATTTCTTGAACTTGGTACCAAGTGGTTGTATGATCAACTAGTGTCATAGAATCCAATACTGCAGCTAATTGTTTCATGTTACGTTTTTTTTGCAATTTAGAATCTTCTTTTTCTCTTTTAGCTAAATTAAACATAACATCATCGTATACATCACGTCGATCTATTTCAGATACATTCCTCCAAATCTAAAAGCAAAAACCATAAAAGTATTAAATCAAATTGTATACTGAATTATTAGTAAGACACATTTATAAATGTCACTTACTAAAAAATATTATTAACATAAATATTATTAATATAATTATTGTTTATTCACAAAAAACAAAGGCACAATAAAATTTGTAAAAACAAGAAAAAAAAGAGAGTAGGTATGTAAAATAAAAAAAACTGAAACCTACAGTTTTACCAAAATTAAATATAAACTAATATTTCATCCACCTACAATCTAATTTATAATTCAAGTTGATAAAAATTAAATTTATAAAAATAAATATATTAAATTTATCTAAAGAAATATTTTAGGTATTATGGATTTGTTGTTTAAAAATAAAATAAAAAGCATTAGTTAATTTCAGTTATTTGATATAAAGTTAATAAATAGAACTTGAAAATATAACTTTAAAAAAATAATACATAATGAAATCAATGTTTATATTAAATATAAACAAAAATGTTTTAAATTAAAAACAAAGATCATTGTATAAGAAAATTACTGAATTTACCCAATGTAACAAAGCAAACTGATTTATATTTGTTTCTTTTTAACAGATGTTAAAAAAATTCCAAAATCTAGTGATTAAGTAAAATAATTTTAGTTTAATTTAAAGAAAAGCTATATTATAACATAAAATTGTAATACTACTATGTTATTTACTTACATCTAAATGCTCATATTTTTCTTCTAGTCTATAGTATTTAGTCTTTGAAGTTACATCTTCATTTTTCATTAAAAACTTTTCAAGGTCTTCTTTTGCTTTTTTAGCTTTCAAACGATGTTCATCTTTTTCATCTTTTTGTCTTTGTGTTTTATAAGCATTAAAAAGTTGTCTTTTTTCATTCAACTTTTTTACTTGAGGGTAAAGTGGATCACGGCTAATGATTTTAACAGTTTGATCCCATGAAGCATTACTAGGAATATTCTAAAAATCATAAACAATATGTATTCTTATTTTTTAACTTGTATGTGCTTAATTCTTTTCATATTTCAGTAAGTCCACAAACCTTTTTTTTTAGAAGTTCTTTAAATGCATCAATTAATTCTTGTTTATTTTTTAAAATTGGAACATCAGGAATTTGGTTTTTATTTTTGGACCCTTTACCAGATATATGATTAGTAGGTCTATTTTCATCAGGTACAGCTATTGATGCTAAAGTTGCAGCCATTGCTTGATCCATGGCTGATCCAGAATCTTAAAATAGTTACTTGTAATTAAATGCATATTGTTTGCATACATATTAAAATATTTAATCTAAAAATAGCCACTATAGCATTAATTTTTTTCATCAAAAATCCGTGTATATTTTGGAGTAAAAATATTACAAATATTTTATTACTAGTTTAAGTTTTTTCTATAAGTATATAGAATTGGCTGCATACGAATTGTATCCCTAAAAATAAAATATGCATTGCAATAACAGAGTTGCATCCGCGGTTTTGGCATAGCATGTCTGAGTTTGTGTTCCCAATATTTATTACATAATAAAGTCTATAATGTTTAGTGATAAGCTTGTAGATTATATAAATTATCAATACCTTATTCGTAAATTCTACTTTACTATTTATTGTTAGAAATTAATTTTATATACGTTAGCATCAGTTTCACTGCAACATTCACTTTAATCATTTAATGTTCAATCAGATATAATACCATTGACTAAATATATAATTATAATATTAAAGTATTTATAATCAATGATATTATTTTTCATTGCAATTTTACAACAATAATATAATAATAGAAAATCATAAAATAATTAATTTTAAGTAAAAAAATAAACAATTATATTGTACTAATAGATATTAATTTGAATCCCAAAAGTTTTTAAAACAATTTGGAAGAAATACACTTGGCAATAACCAATTTGGGTAATTTGGGTATAACTACTAAAAAAAAATTGATGTAAGAAATTGCAACTCAAACAAAATATTATTTATGGGCACAATTCGAATGCACCAATAAAATTATAGTCTATCGATTTAAAAAATAATAAATCTAAGATGAAATATATATGAGAATTTCATAATGAAAACTATTTAATCATTCTATAATATCTAGAATTAGCAATATGAGAAAGCATTTATTAAGTTATTCAATAATAATACTGTAGGAAACCTTCAAAATTGCATGAAAAAATTGATTTCAACAATACTTTATGTAAGCTTAATATAGTATAATTAATTTGGATATCCTAATTATTTTAAAAATATAATGTCATATAACAATTTTTTTTTTTAATAAATACACTACATAAACTGGTTAAGCAAATACATTTTCTTATTTTTAAATCTAAATTAAAATGTATGAATTACTTAGGACCTTATTAGAATCAAATAAAACTAAATAAATAAAATTTACATGCATATTATTTATAAATAACTGAGTTTGATGCTATAAGATATTTTATTAAGATGGAAGAAATAATTTTTTAATTCATGTTCTAAATTAACTAAATTATAAAAAAGTATTATAATTAAAATTGTTAAGAGTAAATTTTTAAAACTTTAAATTAAATAATTTATTAATGTATCAATGTAAAAATTAAAATGTCTTAAAAAGTTTGATCTTTACTATTTATAATTGAAGCCAAGCAGTAAATATTGCTTTTCAGCCATAAATGTTCAATCTACTAGAACTTGTTATATCTGTATGATGAAGAATTAGAAATAAAAACAACAAATCATAATGAAACTTGTCTTTCTAATTTATAATACTTAAGTAAAATATAAAATAAATTATTACCTAAAGAATCTGATCCTCTATCAATTGGAAGTTCTATAGCCTGCTGTGTTAAAGGTACTTGACTAAAATAAATTAATCATAATTTTAAATATATAATATTAAAAATTAAATATAAATATTATATAAGGTAATTATTTACATTTCATGTTCAGAGGCTAACTTTAATTTTAACTCTTCTAATTCAGGTGGTACAGTCCAACTTGATTCTTTAGTATTAATGTTATGATAGTATATAGCACCAGTATCTGATTTGTATTCTTTCCAAGGACTTTGTTCTAATAGTAACTAAAATGATAATTATTTATCATAGTATCAATAAAATAATATAATTTGAAATGTCTCACAAACCTCTGCCTTTGATTTTAACTCATTTGGTTTATCCCAAGAGCTTTGTTTGGTTACTGAATTATAATAATATGATCGACCGTCTGGAGCCTTGTGTTCAGTCCAATCACTTGGAGGTTTAGTTTCATCACTACATAAAATCGCACACATTAATAAAGAATAAGCAACTACTTATTTTCCTGTTGAATAAATGAATATTATTACATAACAGCAAAATATATAATTAGAAAGCTCATCATTAGTAATATGAATGTACAAATGTTAGTACATATTTTTTCATAAATAAACTAATTAATGAAATAAAACAAATTCATAGGAAACCATGATTCTCAAATAAATTTTAAATGTTTACTGCATCAAATACCACTTACCCAAAATAAAATCAAGAGCTTTTAATCAAACAATTAAATAGTTTGATTTATTTAAAATATTCTATTTCTAGTAAATAAATGTTGAAAACGCAAATGTTTAAAATTTAATAATGATTTATTGTTCAATTATTATAACTCTTACCAATCGCAGTCCTATTCTCTCGGGTGTCACCACCAATCATAGAAACTGTAGTACCGACATTCAGCAAAATCAATAGGAATCGTGTATGGCCTAATATCAAAGTTTATCATATTTTAAGTCTAGAATGTTAAGGGCCAGTTACCAATAAACATGCATATATAAAACGAAAATTAATAGAACTCAATATGCTTAATAAAAAAATTAATTAACTTTAGTAAAATAAAGAAGTTTATAGTAACAAATTGTTTAAATTTATATAGAAAAAAAAAATTAGATACATTTAAAAAGCTTTAGTCTAATTATTTTTTCTTTGCCATAATATATTGATAAAAACGAAATTATAATATATTATTATTTAATTAAATCTTAAGAAAGTTCATTTTCCATGTATATATATATATATATATAAATAATAACTAATTTTTAACATTATGAAATCCCATTCACAATACTCAAACACTTTTTATTTTCAACATAACATATTATTAAGTTAATTATTGATTGCAACAATTATTACCTTACTGTTTTAGAATTAAAGATATTATATTATCATAATTTGAGCATTCATAATCAAATGCTTAACTAAGAATATAACCTATTTATACATCACTAATAGACAAATAATTTTGAAAATAAAATATTACAAGTAATTTTAAATTGTTTTTTTTAATTATAAATGCAATGTAAAAAATATATTTTATTTTACAACAAATATAGTATCTATTAATGGATAAATGCATGCAGTATGATTGATTTAATTTATTAAAATACAAATAATCACAGATAAATAATTATTAATAATAGTTAAAATATTTGTGAAATGTTATACTTACGTTAATGGTTGAGGAATGGACTTGGCAAAAGATACTGGAGCCCCAACAATTTCTCCTAGCAAACAAAAAAAAAAACATAATAATGTATCATTTTAACTGTGTCAATTATTACAAATAAATATCTTTTAACTATAGATATATAAGCTCCATAAATCAATATTGGAGGTCATATATCAACTGAAGTACATATACATTATTTTCAGAAAGTATATAGATCATAAGTCAAAGAATAATTGATAATATTATAAACAGTGCGGTATGCTGAACATTTTATGATTAACTATTCCAATACCATAAGAATGAAGAGACCCTTATTTTCATTAGATTACATATATTTTATAAAAAATCAAGAAAAATGGTATTGTAAATTTCAAGGCCATCAACACTTAAAACTATGCTTTTAACATAATTATAGCCAAAAATGTATTATTAAGATAACTGATTTATTAAATATAATTTTACTTTTTTTCTTTTCTTAAATAAAATAATTGATACATTTTATTATCAACTAGTACCCTAGAATTTTGAATTTTATAGTTTATAACAAGTCTACATATAATATACATATAAAAAGACTACCTACATAAGATTAGAAAAATAACACTAATGGAAATAGCATATCAAAATATATAAAATAACATAAATTAATCAGATCTAAGTTTACAATGCATAGTATGCCCAAATGATCAGTCAAAAATTCTTAAGACTTACAACCATTAGTTTAACAGAAATAACAAAATATTAGAAACATAAACATATTAATTTTAAATGAAATTAAGAGAATCAAAATAATGTTTACGATAATAAATAATAATTTCTTATAGTCATACTTTGCACACTTATCAATTACACGATAACCATTAATCAAACAACATACTACAATACAGGAATTAAACCATTTACCTGGCATGTTCATACCGTAAGGAGGCATGAAAGGTGGCGGTATACCAGGTGGTCCGATGCCCATCGGCGCAGCAGCCATGAAACCAGGCGGTATAGCACCCGGTGGGAAGCCCATCTGCGACGACGGTGGCGGGTACGCTGGAGGCGGTATCATCGGAGGTGCTATCCGGGTGTTCAGCTGCGCTGCGGAATTCGGAGATTCCTGGAAAACGTCAAATCGTCATTAGGGTGAACAACAGTTGGGGCGCAGACATCGATAGCGGTCCATCGGCAGGGCATTGGCAGGCGGCCGGGCTGTACTAACCATAGCGAATTCTACGATCTCCAACGATACATCAACACATCGGCGAGCTGAGGAGCATCAACGACCGCGATGAAAAGCGAACGCCAGGACGTGGCGGGCACAGGGCACAGCAGCGGTATTCGCCTGGCGACCGGGAAAATTAAGGGCAACGGGAAAAGGGGGAAAGAAAAAAAATAGTGCAAAAGACGATACGAGAAACACCGACAGCGGTAACGGAAAACGGACGGATAACAGGATGACGCGATAATGAAACGGCGGCGAGCGGCAGGGACGCGGTACGAACGGAAACGATAGTGTGCACGGGGAAAAAATGAACGTGATATTATTATTATTACTATTACTATTATTGTTGTTACGTTATTTTGATTCCGTGCGCGGACAGACGGATCCGCTGCGTTTATTTTTCGTCGGATGTTACATTCGGTGTCAGGCGATTGAAGTTGGCAACGGCAGCCCGGACGGTGCGTGCCATGCGCCGCTGACAATCGGCTACCGCCGCCGCCACCCGCTCGCCGCGACCGGCACCCGAGCGCCATGATAACCAGCGCTAGGAAGGCAAGGAGATTCCGAAACTCTGTCCGGGACGTTGTATACACGCGCAACTTTTTGGCGGCCGTCCACTTGCGGACCGTCGTTGTGTTCGGCCGGAACGCGGTGTCGGTCGTCCGCGGTGCCGAACTTAAACGTCTCAGGGCCCCGAGGTCAGTGGCGGTTCTTGAGAAGCCACAACAG